TAGTAAGGATGGATATTGCCTCTATTAGAGAGGAAGGAAGAGAAATGGGACACTGTTGCTGAGCTTCAGCATATGACAAGTGGTCACATACAATGTGTTCATTTATTTTTGAGGTGGAGGAGAGGAAGGAGTGATAACTCTGGTTATAGAAAAAGATTCATGTCTGTAATAGTAAGAGGCATGCATCCCTTTCTAACAGGTTATTTGTCCCCATACTAGGTGAACAGCCAACAGCATAGAGCACACTGATCTTCCTGTGTCAGAACAGCACTTTTATTTGAATCTCTGCTCCTGTCTTTTGCTCAGTCATATTTCTCTTCCTGATGACTGTGAATTGCACAAGTTGCCATGATTTATTCTGGGCAACACTTCTGCTTTCAGGGAAGACAGTGAAGGCACTTCCTAATAGCTTATTAGGGCTCCATGTTTAATGCCTGTAAGACAGACTTTTTTCCAGTGGCATTCATATTAAGACAGGAGTTGCCACCCCCTCAGCAGTCCAGTCAACTGTGGGGCCCAGGCACTATCCGGTGTTAGGTACTTAAGCAAAAGTTCGAGGAACAGCTGAAGAATGGTGGTGAATGGAGTTAAATCCAGCTGGCAGCCGGTCACCAGTGGTGTTCCGCAGGGCTCAGTGTTGGGGCCTGTTCTCTTTAACATCTTTATCAATGATCTGGATGAGGGGATCGAGTGCACCCTCAGCAAGTTTGAAGATGACACTAAATTGGGAGATAGTGTTGATCTGCCTGAGGGTCGGGAGGCTCTACAGAGGGACCCGGACAGACTGGATCAATGGGCCAAGGCCAACTGTATGAAATTCAACAAGACCAAGTGCCGGGTCCTGCACTTGGGCCACAACAACCCCCTGCAGCGTTACAGGCTTGGGGAAGTGTGGCTGGAAAGCTGCACAGCAGAGAAGGACCTGGGGGTGCTGGTCGACAGCTGATTGAACATGAGCCAGCAGTGTGCCCAAGCAGCCAAGAAAGCCAACGGAATCCTGGCATGTATCAGAAACAGTGTGGCCAGCAGGAGCGGCGTCCCAGTTGTTGTTATTTCTATTTTCCAGAGCTGAAGCATCACCTCAATGTAAGAAGAATAGGTCAGGGAGCTCCCCTTACCACAGTGATGGTGTTAGGTGGGGAAGGTCTCTCCTTGAGTGTTGGAACTGGAAGCATATTCTGAAGTATGTGTGTCCAGTGGGTGGAAAACACTGGTTAAGCTGTATAGAGATGATGGAACGTTACTGATGAGCAAAGAAGATATGCCTGTCCCTCTCTTTTGTTAAAGGTTGCAAGGAGGGGGAGGAGTCAATGACCTTAAAATCCAAGACTTTCCACTTTGAGTCAATGTGAGGGGGACAGGGGAAGTCAGGAATTATCAGGAAGAATTTCTTTACAGAGAGGGTTGTGGAGTATTGGAACAGGCTGCCCAGGGAGGTGGTGGAGTCCCCGTCCCTGGAGGTGTTTAAAAACCGTGTGGATTTGGTGTTGAGCAACATGGTTTAGGGACCCTGGCAGTGCAGGGTGAATGGTTGGACTCGATGATCTTGAAGGTCTCTTCCAACCAGATGATTCTGTGATTCTATGATTCTAAGATTCTATGATTAATGTGCTATTCACCGTTCTGCTTTTACCTGTAATCGTAAGGGCATATTTTGCTTCTGCAGATGCATTTTATACACTTCCTAGTTATGCATTTTTCTGTTATTCACATAAGCATCCAGGGTTTTAACTCTCTAAGCTCGTCTTTCATGTTGTTGAATAGCAATGAAATACGCATTTTTATGTCTCTTATGTAAAATACTTTTCCTTATTCTACTTTTAAATGTTCTATTTATCTTCTGGTTCCTATATTATGAGATGGTAAAATGAATCCATCTTCTATCCTCTCTGCTTCATATTATTCAGTAATATCAGATGCCTGCAGCAGTGCATAGTTGGTCTTCTTTCCCTGTAAGGGTTCAGTTGTAGCTCCTAACAGACTTGTATTTTATGACTCAAAGTTATATTCTCATAAAAACCTTTATGTGGCATTAGTTTCCATGTACTATTTCAGATATGACACTGTCCCAGTATCACCTGTGTGCCTAGATTTTGTCTGTTTCACAAACTTCACAACCAGTATCTCAGCAGTAGTGTAATTCTGGCTCATTTTACATTCTCAGGATGCAAAATCAGCAGGATTCAATAAAGACAATAAAACAGCTACTATCTAATGTTTATCTGGTGAATTAAAACAACTTTTTTTTTACTAAAAAACAGAATCCCTAAGACAATAGAATTGCGTATTAGTATTAATTACAACGATACTATTAACTTACTGGATTTTTCCAGCTGGTAGGAATGTGAAAAAAAAAAACACTTTTTCTTTAAATATTTGATTACAGATGTATGCAACTTGTTTATTTTGTCAAAAGTATGTGTGGTAATCCATGTTTTGAGTATTAATGATCTGCATTCTGCTATAAATACTCTTCTGTCTCCCTCTAGTCTTTTATATAACACTGCAACTTTCCCCTTGTGTATTACCAGGGCCCTATATTTGTGATGCAGTCCTCTTGTAATAACCAGCACCCATGTGTGTGGCCTGAATTCCTTCGCCCAAAATTGAAATCAAGTTACAGGGAAGGTGACTTGAGGAAACAGAAGGAAAGCTGAGTTAGCCACAGAATGCCATCTCTGTACCTATTCTGCTAACTTGTCTATGAAGAGCACTCAGCACATCAGATCTTAACTTTCGAGTATATTTATATGCAAATGTTACTGTAGCTTCAGTGTAGACATGCCTGAAGTAAATTTAAAGTACGTAGATGTGAAGCAAAATGCCAACTGCAAAAGCTAAATATTTGAGGAGTAGAACCTGTTACTCTTCTTCTACAACTCCACTTAACTAATTTCAAGCTAGTTTGAGTATGTCTGCACCGAGTCCAGGCGCACACATACTCAAGCCACCCGCCAGCATAGGTCACTGCAGTATTACAGAATGGACCTGGTTTTAAGAGTGGAAGACTGGAGCAAAGAGAGGTCATTTTGGGCCTGAGCTTCTGAATTTCTTAGAGTTAGAGTCATCCTGTATAGTTTCAGGCACTCCTCTTGAGTGTCTATATGAGGAAAAATTAACTCTTTAGCCTTTTTTCCATAACTGACTGAGAGAGCAAAACACTATCTGAGGTGATTCTGCCCATCTGACATTAAAATAACCTTCCAGATAGGCACATCTGCTGTACTGACAATATAGGACACATAGGATGACTGTGCTCTCAAATTAAATACTTCAGTCGGGTGCTTAAATTACCTAAATTCAGTTTATGTCTTCCATCCAGAGGGATTGCCTCTCCCCACCATTTGATTACGTTATTATATGGATTAAATTTATTAACCAGGTGTTCATGGAGGTGGATAAAATTGATGGCAGAAAAGTATTATCAGAATATTGGTTCTTCATGAAAAACTCTCTTGGAAAGAGGACAATGGAGATCCGTAACTCCTTTGAAGTGTAGCAGTGATCTGACAGTGAACTCATCGGCTTGGACGTTTTGTTCAGTTGCTTTTCATGAGCACAATCAGGTCACTTTAAAGTGATACTAATTTTGTATATATGGCTGTAAGCCAACGTCAGATACAGATAGGTAATTTCAATCGGCTCAGCTTTAAGAATATAAATAATAATGGTGAATTGTAATGATATATTCCATCCCCACTGCACAGCAGCATGGTAGAGCTTCAGTGATGCTGTGGTTATGGAATCTTTAGAAAATAAATGGCAGAAAAATCTAGTAATAAATCATCTGCCTCCTCCAGCTGCTCGTGTTCCTCTCTGTCCACCATTGTTTTCATGTTTGCCCAGAAACTTCCCTCACATCTTTTCTGGGATGAGGCAGTCAACATATTTTCCATAGTTCTGCAATTTTTCATTTATATATCACTAATAGAGATTCACTGTCTGTACACATCTGTGTAGAGACATGCCACATTCTTTCAAAAAGAAGCATACTGCTTGTGAAATTGAAAAAAAAAAAAGCTTCCATAAGTAAAAAGAGAAGTAATATCTGATGCTTCCTGAAATCACAGAACAAATCCTATTCATCTTATTCACATGAGCATTGAAATCCTTGTTTTACTCAAATAACTTGAAAAGCTTGACTTTGTAGTAGCTTACAGCATGTTTTATTGCTGTGGTTACCTTTGTGTATAGATATTAATTTTTCTTTAAAGTATTAGTTTAATAAATATTATTTAATATTTCTGTTTTTTTCAGGATGTGAATTTACTCTGAAAGAGGAGATATTCTAATGTTCAAGGGTAGTGGAGAGGAGACCGAAGGGGGGGTGTGGTGTGGTAATTTTTAGCACCGGAATCTTCCTGTGGAGCCGAAGTGCTCTCATTTCGGTGGTCACAAAAGGCAGTAGAGCATCTGACATAGATAAGTTTTTAGCTTAGGTGATTTCTTTCCCTTTGCCTCAGCTCCTTGATATGGAAAATAAATTACAGTTATTTTGTCCTATTAGGCATCTTGTCATTTTAGGTTGAGAACTATCAGGATTGTGTTGGATTAGGCATTTGTAGTGCATTGGGTTTGTGATTTTGGTCCAGTTTGCTAGTAATTACAATAACACAAACACCTAATAATAAATTAGAGATTATTTTGCAAAATATAGTTTCAGCTGTGCAAGCCAGACCAAATTCTCTACATGAGAAGCCTCAGAAAATGGGCTTTGTCTAATGAATTAGTGAACATTTTATGTTCACGGAGTTAATGTTCAGGAGCAAAGAAAGGTAACTTTGAATCACTAAAATATTTTCAGCCATATATGTTGAGTCTCTTTAACAAACAGGTTTATATACCATGTAAAACTAATGAATGCAACTAAATGCAAAAAATACCCAACCACTATCTTAAGGCATTCCAGAATCAGGACATTGCATATCAATAGGGAGACTTTTATTTAGAGCTGAGTATGATAGATTTTTTTTTTTTCTGTTCTGCTTTCTTTTGGACAGGATCTGTATCATCAGTCATATGACTGCGTCTGTGTAATGTTTGCCTCTGTTCCGGATTTCAAGGAATTTTACACAGAATCTGATGTAAATAAGGAAGGCTTGGAATGTCTCAGGCTGCTAAATGAGATCATTGCTGACTTCGATGATGTAGGTACTTCTAACAACAATCAACCTATGGTTTCTAATAACCCAGGGTATGCAACAGTAAGCGAACATACTTGGAGAGTGGAAGAGCAGTCAGAAAAGAGCTTTTGTGTGCCTAGTCATGTGGAATTTACTTACAGGGAGTATTAAAGGAAAAATAAATTTATTTGGGATAAATCAGATACTGATCTGGCATCATACTCAATTGCTTTTGATTAGCTATAATGATAATCCTATGTGCATATCTGATGGAGAAATTTTTGCCCTGCAAAAGCTGCAGTTCATGAGGCAGTTATATTACATGCCATATATTAGCTACAGTTTCTAAATACTAGTGCCTGAAGTCAGGTACGTAAATCTGTGTCCCCTAAAATGATGCAGCTTTGGTCTCGTTATACAGAGCATTATCAGTTGATACATGAGCGACTCAAAGGATTGTATGAGTTTTAGTATTCCATTCTCTGAAGTTACAAGCAAGTACAGAGTTTTTCTACAGATTGATTGTGAAAAGGCAGCTGTAAAGGTCTCACTGAGAACGATATTTGTCTTAAAGTTATTAGTGATGAAGATACTAGAAAAATACGTTAAGATTATGTCATGAGAGAGCACAGTCTAGATTTGGGGATCTGCAGCAGTAAAGGGTATTTTAGCTGCAAACCCATTTGGAGAACATTTTGATGTTCAAAACAACCTGGAAAATGAACTAAAACCCTTGGGTTTTAGTCCCATTGGCATGGGCTGTCCCATTGGCATGGGAAAGATGCTGCCTTCCAGAAAGCTGCCTAAAGCTTTAACTGTTGGCTTACATGGTGACTCAGTTCCAATACCAAAGTCTACAGACCTTTTAAGATCTGTATGTACAATAAGGTGGAATTTATTCTCATTGCTAATAATTTAGTCCCTTTAAAATAAAAAGGTATTTTAGCAGACAGAAATTCCCTTTCCTTGGAGGCTGTAACCGTTGTTTTATCCATCCTTAAGTCCTTCAACTTGCGTATATTTGTGAAGTCATTTTTTGTCTATTAAGAGTCTGTTCCAAGTATTGATGCTCTGAATGCTGTTAGAGTAACAATGCTGTTAGAGCAACAAGGCTCTACTGAATAACTATCCTTGTTTTACAGTTATTGTCAAAGCCAAAGTTCAGTGGAGTTGAAAAGATAAAGACCATTGGAAGCACTTACATGGCAGCAACAGGACTGAGTGCTACACCCAGCCAAGAACAGTGCCAGGTACATGAGAAAGGTTCTTGCTTAATAAAAAACATGTTCAAATGAAGGCTAAAATTCTGTTCATCAAACCACAGGTTATGTATAATGTTGTGGCCTAGTTTTTTCATATTAAGGTAGATTGTATTGTACTGGACAGGTGTATACTTTTGTTTAGCAGTCTCTGTGAATTACTGTTATTCACATTCCAGTTTGAAAATGCCACCTCTGTATTTGCAAAGTCTCAAATAGGCCTTCTACTCTAAATACAACACAGCGTTTTATTGCTACATGCTACAGCAGAACTGGATTTATAGAGTGTACAAAAGACTGCAAGAATGACTGTTTTCCATTGTAAGCTGGGAGGGCTGAGTAGCCGTATTAACCATACACGTACAGAACCCTCAAGCTCAGCACTGAGAACGTGTTTCTTTGTTTCTGGTTTACTTAATAGGGTAGGACTGGGAACTGCACTCACTAGAAATGAAGTTCAGAGAAGCAATTCATAACTTTTCAGCAAAAACGTTGCTTTTGCCATGATCTTTAGAGTACTACAGGTTAGCAACAGAGAGACAGCAATTATGAATCAACACATTCTCTGCTAAGGATTAATGTGTTCTTGCCAAACTCATATTCCTTCTAGACAGAAGCAATTAAGACCTGAACTATAGACCTTAAGGATCCTGAGGACAAAAAAAAAGTATTATTTTAAATCAGCTCTGACATTTAATACATGGAGGTGAAGGGGATGAAGGAAACGCAGAACTGTAGATTGGAGATGAGCAGACACAGAGGATCTCTCAGTCACAACTAATCACAACTAGTGTGTGCACAGGAAGAATTTTATCATTTGAGATATTTCCACAAACTGTGAATCGAGAGATGCAAGTTTTAGTGTTCCTTTGGTGATTTAGTATACGTTTTCAAAGGAGGTCCACCAAAACTCAGCAGCCTTCATTCCAGACACCCAAAGATCCACAGATACTGCAGCACCTAGTGTGGCAGTGACTGACTACTAGGCATACTTCTGGGAACAGCCCTCAGCTTAAAACAAGGACCCAAGGAAGACTAAGTGCCTAAGGAGGGGGACTGAATACATCAACTGAACAGGAAACCATCTGTCTTAGCTAGAAGTGAACTCCAAAGGAAACAGGCTTTATTCATCTGAACAGCTGCTATGGCAAGCACCACTACTGTCCCACCTAGGCTGTTGTGTCTACTCTATGAATCATCTCCCGGAGTTGTCATCTGTCCATCTCCTCTGTCACTTTATATGAGGAAGGTTCAGTCATTTCTCATAGACATCAGTGAGTCCATCTCTTATGAAATCATTATCTTGTCAAGGTCCTACTCTGGGCTGTGGGAGCCCTAAAATCAATTTTCTCCTCAGCCTGAGGGGACTCAAACCAGTACTTAGTAATTATACTACAGTGTTGATATATGAGGAGACATTAAGTCTATAGCCTTTTTAAGTGGTATAAGCTCTAAGCTAGTAAACTGGGGGACAGAGCATGGATTGCCTTCTTCCTCTCTTCCTCTTGTATTTTATTCATTTCCAGGCCTATTAGATGTTCTCGGAGGTGCTTGCTTATCTACCAGATGAGATCAGTGGAGGAACTCTTAAAACTGTGAATTTCACTAGAGCTTAAGCATTACCTGGGGTGCTGAACTGTGCAACAGTGAGAGGGAAGAGTCTCTCTGGGGCTGTCCACAAGCATCATTTATTATTAAAGGGCATAAAATAGAAGCAGACACTTAGAGAAAATTAATGAGCAAGTCCTAGGCACACATAGACACTGAGTGCCTGTGAGATTAGATAACAGCTTATCAGCTGTTTGACAATCAAAACGTTAGATTAGACATGTTTTGGATCTATCATCTCTAGACTGCCTGACTGTGTAAGTAAAATGCATCCTGATCTATTGGCCATTGTTTGATCTAACTGATGCTGGACAGGGCACCATCTTCTACATTCCTTTTCTTCTGCTGCCTGCTGGCATTAGGACATCCCTAAGGGTTTAATTGCTTTCAAGTGTTCAGCATATTTTGGTTGTATTCTCACAGCAACTAAGGCTAAGGAAAATTATTTTATTCTGTTTGCTTGGCTGTTCAAATTCAGGAACCTGAACGACAGTATATGCACATAGGAACTATGGTGGAGTTCGCATTTGCCTTGGTGGCGAAACTGGATGTCATAAACAAGCACTCATTCAATGACTTCAAGTTACGAGTAGGTATGTATCACAGGGTTTTTACAAGAATATCATGCAGGAGGGGGAGAATTCAGTGTGATGTACCTGCTGATTAAAGTGTTAGTAGAGCTGACCAAAAGGGCCCTGAAAGTAAGTAACACCATCTGTGCCCTGTTTAAAGGCAGCTTACGTGGTATTGCCCGCTAACCACAGCTGCTGTAGGAGTGTTTCAAGGCAAGACTCAGAAAAGCGCAGTACCCCTAAGTAAAAAACAGTTGAAAAATACGTTCCCATGGCTCTGAATTTTTTTATGGTAACTCGAGAATAGTTATTCTAGAGGTTGTTAACGGCATAAATGTTTCAAGCTTGTGAATACCAAAGGACGCAAGAAGACTCTAGACATACAAAACCATAGAAATGGTTTTGGAGGATGAGAGCTATAAGAGGCCAGTGAGGCTGGAGTTCGAAATATTTCAGATGTACTAAACTCAAGCAAGCATGCAAAAATGCACCCTTTCCTTCCCAGTGTTAGACGAAGGAAGATGTTTCTCTTCTTTGTTATTCTGTGGTTATTGACAAATAAGAGTAAAGATGACTACTTGTTTATATTTGAAAGGTGTATCCCTTATATTTCAGATGCTAATGCTTCTACTTGTGCATCATGGTATTTGAAAGGTGTATCCCTTATATTTCAGATGCTAATTGCTTCTACTTGCGCATGATGGTATTTAAAAAAAGAAATAGGCAGCTGCAGTAAGCCATGGGAAGCATGATGAAATAAATGAATTCAGAGCTGGTCAAGAACCATATGTTCCAAAATGTTTATTTCCTGATAGCAGCACACAGCAGTTTTACAATGCAATATGTAACTTGGAAAGTGTGAAATGAAAGCAGTAAATAAATACTGGAAACCCATAAATCTTGTAAACATGTCAGAAGTATTTGATTTCCAACAGTTATTCTCCTGTCTTGTCTCTTTCTTATTGTGCCGCTTGCTTTTTCCTTTTGGCTTCTCCTCTCATGTTTATTTCACAGTGCCACCCACTGGCAAAACCTGCTCTCTTCTCACTTGAAATATTCGTGTGTTCCTGAGAGCACTCCTTTGCCAGTAGGTTTTGAGCTCCTTGCTAGAGTTAAAAAATGGCAAAGCAAGTATGAAGTACGCTCCCTTCTCAAAGTGTCACAGAACCTGATGGGTTTAGAAGAAACGTACAGAGATATCATATTTCTGTACAGAGTAGAAGTTCTCTTCTTGCCATAGATGACACATGCCACATACTTGCAAACATACTTGTACCAGCAGTGTCAGTACAGATAAAGAGCTGCTGAGTGTCGGGGCTAAATCTGCAAACTGATCAAAGCAATGCTGACTCCTTTAAAGTAGGCATCATGAAGCAAACTTTCTAGGGGGAAAAAAAAAAAAGATACCTGCTTGTGATTTAAGGTGTTTGCTATAGGTTCCAGAGAAGTCAGACTCCTTTTCTTCATTAAATGAGGAATGATTAAATCTACAAAGAGACACAGGCCCCAAACTGGCACTTTTGCCACCTTAATCCAGTATAGGCACCTCTGAGATCTTCAATTCTCATCTTCACTTCTTCTCCACTTCCCACCACCACCTGACCATGAAAGCGTCTGATATACATAACAGAGCCACAGAAACATTTGAGCATCTACCTCTGACGTAGTCCCCGCTGTAAGGATTTAAGCCCAAACTGCCATTTGTAAAAACCTTCCTCAGCCAGCCCCTAACGCCAGAATTGTTGCAACTCACTAGAGGTCTCAGCTTTCAACCTTCATTTTCTGTGTGTGCCTGAAACACTAGTTGTGCCTTAGGAGGTACAGAGCCCACCCCAACGTTGTCAGGCAAGAGAGGGGAGCACCTAGATTTTATTTCAGGGCGTTCCTCCCCTTCTGTTAGCTAAGGTGCTTGATTTGTTAGACAAGCTCAGATGTGCTTTTGCAGCAAGTTTTGCACAGGTACTGCTTTCTTTTTCAGAACAGAATAGAGGCTCACATGTGGTTTTCCGTATAGCTTCATGGTTAGAACATTTGTCTGTGTTTCAGGTGAACTTAATTTGGTTCTTGCTATTGGCTGAGGCTGCTCAAACATGGGGATCTCTGTTCCTTGGAGAACACAGTGAGCCCAGGCTGTAGGATACCTAGGAATGAGATATTCTCTGTCTGTCCTGCTGAGCAGTATTTACTGAACAGTATTTGCCTTTTCCTGGAATAATTAAATGCCACTTTGGCTACAAGAGAAAGAAACAGACAGTATCGCCCTCTGTTAGACCATTCACCTGGACTGAGAGTACTACTCTTCCAGCCTTGCCCCAACAAACATTCATGTGTGTCATGTGAAGGAGACCCACACTAGCAGCAGTGACGTAGAGCAGCACACCCCAGAATGGCTGAGTAACCAAAACACATTCCTAAGAGAATTCTCCTCAAAGGAGGCAGGATCTAAAGCTGACTCTCCAGCCCCTGAGGTATTACTGAAACCATCAGTAGTGGTGGTTCAGGAAGGAGGTTAAATAAAAGTCAATTCCTGCCCATTGTATTTTGTAGGAAAGTCTCACCGCACTGCCCTAATTTTTGGACCATGGCAGGCAGAGCATATGCCACACACATCTCTTCAGTATTCCCCACTAGCCAGCCTGGGCTACTCAGCAAATGGCTTTTGTGGATTCCACTCTCAGATCCCTGATGCCTTCTGTGCATTGGATGTCATGAGACAGAAAGACACACCCATGATTTGGGTGTTAATGCAGTGTTGCAAGGCCTGAGTCCCTTTGTGCATTTAATCCCAAGCGTTTGGATAAATATTTATCAGGTTCTATCTGGTATCCATTGGGGTTTGCATATTTCCCCAATCTTCTAGATTCAACTGCTACAGTCATTTTTTCCAGGGTTTCCAGATGGGCTTATAGCCTGGTTGCTAGCCCACGGTGCCATGTTATATATGAGCCACTCTATGTACTACATGAGCCAGCTCTGAGATCCCTCCCCATGCTACAATCACACTTTCATTTTGCTGTGCAAATATATCCCTAGACATGGTTTCTGTCAAGGAATTAATAGAATCAGTTACGATCCACTGACGTGGAGATAATTTTAGAAATCTGAACTACTCACTTGTCCAGGGTTTGTTTCTCACTAGGTCTAAGTTGGCTTTCCTGCTCATCGGTATGTATAGTTACAATTATAGCATATTTGACACTGGTTAACACTAGTGCTTTGGATTTTTCCTCCTGCTTTCCTTCCCTATTAGCAGAGTACAACTCACTCTCTTTACAAATGTAACATAGGATACAAACTGACTGCAGGATAAAAAATGCCCAGAGTCTGATGAGAGACTATACTGTGTTGTTCTGCACTCTTAGAGTGTGCATTTCAGAGCTAGGAGTTTGTTACTCTTGCTTCATGGTTAATCAAATTATTTGGATACATGTATTTATATTGCAGTTGTTTAGGACCATTCTGTGGGCAATCCAGTTTTCAGAACAAGGCTTCAAATCATTCCAGCTCATTTGCATTAGTTTATTCTACATGTAAGAAGCAAAGAATACTGTAAAAGTCATTTGATTTGGCCATCAACTATTGCAGAGAGGAGAAGCTCTTTTCACTACAAGTGGAAATGAAACTATTGTATTTCTTCTTTTCCCAGAAGCTGCTGCTCTCCCACAGTGTGTTCCACATGCTATCTGAGAAAGGCAGTAGCAGATTATTAGTATACTAATGGTTGAAAATATCAAATTTACTCTGGATGGAAGGGAGCTGTAAAACTAAAGTTAGATGAACAAACTTTTGGCATTTTTATAAGTAACATCCTCCTGCTGTAAATGGTTAATAACACAGTTGTGAACCGACTGTTGGTTGCTATACTCACTGTTCAGCATGGGCCAAATACCATGTTCACTGAGTTGGTATGTTACCAGATGCACTGTGTGTCCTTGTTTGGTGGATCTTCTTTTTTAATGTTAAGTTCTGATGTTTTCTAGGTATCAATCATGGACCCGTAATAGCTGGAGTAATTGGAGCTCAAAAACCACAATATGATATCTGGGGCAATACAGTAAATGTGGCCAGCAGGATGGACAGCACTGGTGTCTTAGATAAAATACAGGTAAGTCTTGGTTTTGGGCTAGTATTTATGTTAATCTTTTGAGTTTGGTGCTTAAAAAACATCATATATTGGTACACTAAACAAGTCTGTATTTTGGAGCTAAGGATGCCTACAGAAAAAAAAAATACGTACCAGCTGTATCTGTACATTTCAAAAGAATTAGACCTTGGGCAGGAAAGTAAAGAATTAAAAGAAAATGGGAGGAGAATCAAAACTTTGTGTTGACCCTACAGAGGAATACAGTGGAGGAAGTCAGGGATTGCCTAGATTAAGAGAGGATTTGAGGGAAATCACATTTCTATTCTGTGGATTTCTAAACTCATA